GTACTAAGATTATATAATAACATAGGACGGAGAGAGTTGGGCTCTTTCTATTTGGAAACGATGATAAAGCACACGACCAATGTTTTGTACTAGTTTGCAATGGGGTTTGCTTGGAACAAAAACTTATATAGAAAAAGAGTTGGACAGATAGGGGTTGCTTTGCTTGGCGTTGTCTTTTTGGACTGTTTCTTTGTGGATTCGATTGGACCACATGAATTCATAGAAAGCTGGAGGGAGTGCCCACTTGATTCGTGACCTTACTCTCATGATCAAAACCCACCCACCATATAAACACGAGAGCCGCCAGCCACCATCGTTTAGTGATTTACATCTCATCTTTTGTAGCCTTCTTCAATTCCCTCCAATTTGACCTCTTCCCTCTTGCAATAACCCAAAGGTCATTTCTTCTTTTGTGCTCTCTCTCTCTCCCTATAACAAAATAAAACAAAACCCTAAATTCTTGTCTGCAATGTAAAGAACAATTGAGCAATTAATATAGGTATAGGCAAGCGTAAGCAGAGATCACAAGAAGAACAGAAAACCTTCAAGTATAGTATAAAATTTGGGGTAGGAAGAAAAGTATAGGCAAAGGGATTTTCCCAGGCCAAACATGGTGCAAGAGATGCAAGCTTTCATGCCGGCTCCTATCAATAGAAAGGCAAATCCCACCTACATGACAAAATACCAATCAACTTTGGACATGTTTGTCACTTGCTTTTGCTTATAATAGATTATAATAATACTCTTAATGGATTAAAGATTATCTTTAATCAAGCATTAGTAGAAATTAATTAATATTATTTAATTAGGATAAGTTGGCATTGGAAGATTAGAAATCCCAATACCTCAAAAAATATACATTGGGTTTGAACTATATAAAATGAAAGTTGGTTTTTTTTAATGATACGAAAAAGTCTCAAATTTTAACAATTAAAAATATCTTTTTAGAGATGCATTAGAAAAATAATAATAAAATTTTATTTATTTATTTTAAAATAAAGGTGTCATGAGTCGAGTAAGGTCCGGTTTGGTTTATTAGGGTTTCTTTTTTAAGAGTCATGCTCAAGCTTAGTTTAGCCTACTCATTTAACAATTATTTTATTATCTAGATTTTAAGAATGACAACAAGTAAAGTATTGATTAATTTTAAAGTATTTAGACTTAAATCTAATTAAAATTTAACTATGTATGTCCTATTCAAATGTGATTAAAAATCAACATAAAATATTAAAATTCGGTTATTAATACTTACAAAAAATCCTAATGTGAACTCAAAAAAATAAATTTAAAATAAAATTTTATGTATAGTATTAATAAAAATTAAATTAATAAGTTAAAATTAGCTAATAAAAAATAAATTAAAGATTAAAATCATATTTAGAATAATTAATAAATTTTTTAATAAGTATTATGTTAATCCTAAGTAATTTGTTATATGAAAATAAAATTTATTATTAAAAATTATTATTTATAATCATTCAAATACGATATACTTTAAAGATAATTATCTGATCTTATCAATTATTGATTTTATTACTTAATCTCTATCTGAACTTAAAAATAAGATAGGATTAGATATCTGATTATAAAATATTCATTACTACTCTATCTAATCCAAAACATGTCGTATCTGTGACTCAATTTTTTAATAACTTTACTTTAAACTCATTTGACCATTGCATTTGTCACATTAAATTAAAAGATAAGAGTATAGATGACTAACAGATGTCTTATCTTTAGATGATTTAGTTGTGTTCTACATATTAAAACGTGACCAAATTCAAACATTTAATCATGCCCTCTACATTTTAAGGCCAAAACTTTGAGCACGGGTCGCGATCATGGAAGTAAATACAGACCACTTGGCTACTTTTGAGTGGACTTTCTCCATGGAGCCGAGACCTTCCACGTTTGCTGAACTTTTTTCAAAATAAATAATTATCCTTTCGATTATACTAACTATATTTCTTAGCTGATAATTGCTTTGTATGGCTTAAGTCTCATAATCAACTATTCTATCTTTCTTTCTACTATATGATACCCATATTCTTATCATCAACACATAACTATAACATAATGTTCAATCACAATGTCTACAACTAAATAATTGTGATCGCAGCTCAAGAATTCTTAACATATATGGTATTACTATTGTATATGATAAAAAAATCTTTCGATAAACGAACAATATAAGAAGTGGGCTCATATAACTAAATAAAATCTAAATATGATAAATCTTAATCATGAATTTAAAAATTTAGAGATATTTATCTTATTTTAAAGACAGTACTTCATCGATGACTTTTTTATTTTTTTAATAAATATATGAGAGGTCATATTGGTTTTGCTTAATAACTCTAAATCAGCCTCCAGTGCATTATGATCGGCCTGTTTTTGCAAAAATATCTCTTTACGTACGTGTGCCATTGTTGAAAATTTAATTTTATATGCAGGCAATATAAAGGTCACCACGTTTCTGATCATGATAGCAAACCAACAATTAGATAAAGACTAGTGACTAGTTTCCCTAGCAGTACTGCCTAGAACATATGAGATAGTGCCTAACTTAAATTGATCAGTGATCTCTGTCCTTATCCTTCAAAAAGGGCCCTTCAAT